CGATGCTGCCCACCGAAGACCCCGGGGCTCCCCAGACCGGGGCGGTCACCCTGTGGCAGAGGTCCCCCATGCAGGGTGGCCTCCCTCCCCCCAGGGCTGGGAGCTGGCTCGGGCCCCTGCGGGCGCTGCTTGTTGGCGGTAGGGTCTGCCTCCCGCTGCGAAGGGCAGCGCCCCGAGGGACCCTGAAGCTGGGGTGATGGGGGACCTGCCTCTCCTCAGTGGGCGGTTGTGGCAGAGACGTGCACAGGGAAAAGCAGTTCTGTTCCTGGAGCTGAGCGAGCAGTGTGCATGTCCAGAAGGGCACATAGGATGTGCCAGCTCTTCTGGAAAAATCCATTCGGCTCTGGGCAAGGGGAAGGTCCCTTGGAGCTGCAGCCCCTCTGCAGGAATTGGTCCGTAGAAAGGCCAGTAGTGTCCCCTCCTTAGTTTTTATCAGCAGCTTTTCTGGAAGTGGTACACATTCCCCGTAGGGGTGCGGTAAATTTGCGGCTCTGGCATCCTGCTGGGTTGAATTTCCTCTGTGCTGTGATTTCCAGTAATACCTAGGCCCCTTGTTGCTGGGTGAGAGCAGCACAGGAGGCGTCTTCTCCTGCAGTTGAGAGCACCGTGTCTAGTCAAACTGAGCTCCCAGGCTCTGCTCCTGCCTGCCTCCCCTCCTCGGCTGTCAGGTCTCATGGCATTAGGGGAAACAGATGTGTTAAAATGGGAAACCTGAAGACTGATTCCAAGGATGTACTGACCGCAGGTGGGGAGGCCAGCTAAAATGAGCTAGAATGTGAAACACTGTCCTTGGATTTTATACCCCCAACTCATCCCCCTCCCTTTGCCCTGGCAGCAAGGACAAGGACTGTCCAAGTACTGTCACTCCTGCTCCTACAGACAAGGATGCTGGGTGAAGAGGGTGTCACCTACTCAGTGCTCTCTGAGGATGGAAAGAGAGCCCAGGAGGCTTGAATCCTGACCTTTTCATTGAACTATTAGACTATCTCCGTCCTTGCTGTTTGCCAAAGTATGCAGTGTCTTTCCCCCAAAGTACACTTGATTAAAAAGCTACCAGAACTCCTTTGAAGCCTGGGTAGGTTTCAGGGTGACTGCTAGCCCAGAGCAGAGAGAAGTCCAGCGTTACCTTCCCTTACCTTGCCTTAAGTCCCCTCTTGATGATTTCTTTGGTACTTTCTCTTTCAGATGGCAGAACGGACTCTCCTCGTTCTTTTTGGCAGCCAGACTGGGACAGCTCAGGACACAGCTGAGAGAATTGGCAGAGAAGCCAAACGACGCCACTTTCAGTGCAGAGTGGAGGCACTGGACAGCTATGATGTGGTGAGTGGTGATGCAGAGAGGTGCCCCAGGCAGTTCTAGTCTTGCTCCATCTCTACCAATCCCATTTCTAGGGCTCAGACATCCCCCACCCTTGCTATGACCTCCTATATTTCATAAGATCATGCCTCTCTGTCCTCCCTGAGGGCAGCTTGTGCTTAACTCAGCTGAAAATGTGAAAACTGAGCAGTGACTCTTGGGATACAATCACTGTTAGATGACAGATGCCCAGCCTTATCCAGTGTTTCATCAAGCGCACTTCCTACAAAGCAAGGAGCACCAACGATCTCTTGCTGCAGGCAGTGTGTGTGGGGAGCAGATGACTGTACAGTGTTGTCAGAGGAGGATGTGCCATGCGGGGGCTGTGGGTTTATGCCAAGCGTGGTCTGTCCATGAACTGAATCTAACATGATCAGCTGGGTCTGGCTAGCTAGGGGCATATGTTTGTAGGCTGCTGACCTGAGTGCACCTTTCTATGCTTGTCTGTGCACAGGCGAACCTCATCAATGAGCTGTTGGTGGTATTTGTGTGTGCAACCACGGGCCAGGGCGACCCACCTGACAACATGAAGGTAGGATGCATTCCAGTCTATGTTGCTTTTATGGATCTGGTCCTATGACTGGATTTACTCCTGAGCAGCTTCAGTTATGGATTTCTTGGAGTTGGAGGCTTTGAAACAACACCAGTCATCCTTGCAGGGTAATGTCAGGTGGATGCTGGCTCACTGAGTGGGGCTGAGAAGCATCTCCTGTTGCTGGTGGGATGTGAACAGCAAAGATGGTGAGATTTCAGCAGCTTAACAGCTAAGAGGAGCCCCTGCCTTAGCAAGAGCCTCAGATTTGTGGAGACCTCACAGGGCATCATCTTTCTGGCAGGTAGCACTAGCAGCTAGCTTCAGGGATTGCTTTTGTAGAATAAGGCACTCTAAGGTTACAGCCACTGGCTGAACAGACATACTCAGCAGAGGAAGCTGCCAGGCTGTGCTCCCTGCCCTGTCAGGACTCGGCAGGAGGGACCCTGTGGAAGAGTGGAAGTGGGGGTCACTGAGGGAAGGTGTCCTTGCCGCAGCAGTATGACTCCCCAGCCGTGCTCCTTTATAGATGTTCTGGCGGTTTCTGTTCCGGAAGAACCTGCCGCCCAGTTCCCTGTGCCAGATGGACTATGCTGTGCTGGGCCTCGGAGACTCCTCCTATCCCAAGTAAGCAGATCTCCTTGGCTCTTTGCCTGCCCTGCAACAGCACATCCTCACAACTCTGGCTGCAAGCAACAGCAGAGTGCCTGGGGAACGGAGGGGGCAGAGGGAGACAGAGGTCTGGCTCTAGAGCAGCAGCTTGGACAAGGTGAAATTCCCACCGTCCTTAAAAATCCTTGCCTTATGAGCTCATGTTCCTGCTAGACCCCCCGAATTGGGCTGCTACCTGTTTCTCTCCTCCCAACCTCTTCAAGCAGATGCTTTGCTGGAGCATCTCAGACACTGTTGCCCAGCCAGGTCTTGCAGTCATGCAGTACTCTCTTTGTATCCCAAGAAAGCAGTAGTTTCAGTGGGCCCAGCCAACAGGAGTCACCAAACACAGAGTTTTAGGTGGCATCCAATCCCAAAAGATTGCTCCTGTGTGCCCTGCAGGGCTGCTGTGAGATAGGACAGGAGTGCAAGTGAATGGTGCAGTAAAGGGGAGTGGTGCAGTAAAGGGGAGGCTAGAGGGAAGGAAGTATTTTTTTGTCTGGGGTGCAAGCTGCTCTGAAAGGAAGCTGGACCCTGCTTCAGTCCCCCTGCTTGAGTCCTAAGGAGCCTGTTTTGCCCAACAAGCGGCAGCCAGCTGCTTCTCTGAGCTGTCCCGGCATGGGCTGGGGTGGGCAGGGCATAAGGCCAGCTTGTGTGTGCTGCAGATGGCTGGACCTGCCTCTGTGCTGCTCCAGCATGGCCCTGGCAGCATGTGGGCTCATGTAACCCGTGTCTGCTGTCGTGTGGGAGGAGCACTGCCCATTACAGCTGCAATTATTCTTTGCTCAGGTTTAATTTTGTTGCGAAGAAGCTGCACAAACGGGTGCTACAGCTTGGGGGCAGCCCTCTGTTGCCAGTGGCGTTGGGAGATGACCAGCATGACTTAGGGTAAGAGCCCGGTGTGGACGGATGGCAGGAGGGAGAGCCCTGGGTCACATGTCGGAAGCTGTATTTGGGCTTGAGGTGTCAGTGATTGCAATTGCACGATCTCAGTGGATTGGCTGTTCTGTTCAGATATCAGTGGTTGTGCCCCAGAGGGCAGGTGAGTGCTGAGAGCAGCTGAGAGAGGCACTGGTCTGAATCTGGAAGGGGAACAGCATGCAGTTACTGTCTGTGCTGGTAAAAGGCAGCAGAAGCAGGTTTCCCCAGGGGGCAGTCTAGCATTGTCCATGTGCAGTGGGAAATGTCAGGCTGGCAGGATGAGGGTGCAGAGCCATAGTGGTACATGGCACTGCAGTGTCCTTCTACCATGACGGCTCCAGTGCAGGCTGCAGAGGTAACAGCCTTTGAGCGTGGAGAGGTGGTGGGAGCTGCTGCAGCCTGGATCTCCCCCTCGCAGGCCAGATGCAGTGGTTGATCCATGGCTCCTGGACTTATGGGACAAGATCCTCACCTTGTATCCTCTCCCTCCTGGCCTTGAGATCATCAGTCCAGATGTGCGGTGAGTGCAGATGGTGAACCGAAAGTGTTGACAGCTTTCCAGCCCCCCTGGGAGCTGGCTGATGTGGAATGCCCTGATTTCTTGGCTGCTTCCAAGGTGGAGATACGCTCTGCTTTCACCAGGAAACCTCCCCACACAGCTCTCAGTGTCTCAAGTATCCTTTAGACTTTGGCCTTGGGTGGTCCATCTTCTCCCTCTAGATGGAGTATGCCCTTGTGCCTTTGGTGGATGTTAGCTGCCCTGGCAGGGTTCTGCACACCTCACTGTCCCGATATGCCCCTGTGCTTGGCCGACTTGTGGAGAGTGTTTGCCCAGTCAGCTTAGCTCTGCCTGCTCTGATGCCTTCAGGATTGCCTATCTCTTTCTTCTGGCAGTCTGGCTGAGTTGTGTTCTCTTACCATGTATCAGCTCCAAGGGTCAGGGAACATGGGTGGTGGATATTGTGGGATACTTCAGGGCCTCTCCCCTGGCACTAGCCTGTAGACCTGAGGCAGCAGAAGAGCTATGGCAGGGAGGTTACTGTATTCAACTTCTGTCTTCCCCACAGCCTGCCCCCAAAGTACACCCTGCACTACCTGGCTGAGGACTCCTCATGCTTTGATGATGGCCTGCTCCAGCCAACAGCACCCAGGGCTGTTCCCTCTGAACTGCATCCCTTTGCTGCTCGGATGGTGGCCAATCAGCGGGTCACAGCAGAATCCCATTTCCAGGATGTCCGGCTCATTGAATTTGATGTCACGGGCTCAGGGATCACGTGAGCATTTTCCTGGCTTCCCCCAAGTTTTGCTATGTGGGAAGCTGCCGCCTCCTGCCATGGTTTGATGCAGGAGCTGTGCTGTCCTTCCCTGCTGATCTTTGGGGTCCTGGCCTTGCAGGGTGTCTGGCTGACCTGACCTTGGCTTCTGCAGGATCCCTCTGCCCCTTTTGTTATGAGGGACGATCTGCTGCTTCCCAATCTGCCACAGGTCTGTGTTCGTACTACCCTGGTGAAGGGGAGTCAGGTATCCCATAGCTTCCTTCCCCTTCCACTCCCCTCCTTCAGCAATGTCTGAGGCTGCAGCCTGTTTTCCATGGTTGCGTCCCTGCTGCGCTGTTTACCCCCATGGCAAAGACATGGTGGGCTGTATGACACAGTGTGGGTTGTGCCCATGGGCCAGTTCTCTTTACCTTGTTAAGTCAAAGAGCATAATGTTAGTGACACTGCATTTTTTGCTAAGTTTGGATACTGGTCCCAGTGCTCTGCCCACAGGCCTGCCCTGTGGCTATGCTCAACAGGTCCTGCTGTATCTGCAGATTCAGCGCAGGAGACGTGGTGATGATCCAGCCCCAGAACTCCCCCGAAGACGTGCAGCAGTTCTGCCAGCTTCTGCACCTGGATCCAGACAGACACTTTGTGCTGAAGCCCTCAGAGCCCAGTAGGTCCTTCTGACTGCTCCTTTCCCTTCCCTACTGGGTTGGAGCAGCCCACTGAGCTCTGGCCCAACTTGGAGCTCTGCTTTTAATGTTTTGGTCTTGGTAAATGAGGAGTGGGGAGTGACTGATGAATAGAGGACATCCGCCTGTCTTGCTGTGCTGAGGGTCTCCTTCCCTCCCAGCTCTTTGTCTGTGGGGATCCCATGTTAGGGCCAGTGCGATTCATGGGAGGAACCCAGCTGTGTCTGGGCATCACCCATGCCTTGTGTCTCCACATCACCAGCCCAGAGCATGGAGGTTCGCAGGCCAAGACCCAAGTCGGGTTGCTCAGGCTGCTGTCCTCTACCTGTGCTTCCTTACTCTGTGTGTGTTGGCCTCCCCACTATACCTGCGCCCCAGAGACCTACTGCAGTTACTTCTGCAGCCGCACACTGGCACCAATAAGTGGAGAAACCCTTTGGAGGCACCCACGATTCCCTTGCCAGGCACTGCCATGGCTCTGCAATCTGCCTGATGCCAGGAGAGTCTTCTCTCTTCTCCCAAGTGTCCGTCCCCTCCCTGGTTGAGCGCTGTCCAGACTGACTGGGAAATGGAATCCCACAGAGATCACAATCAAAGATGGCAGGAAGAGAGTGACTCACCATGATATCTGCTGGAAAACTTCATTCCTTTTCCTGACGTTATGAGGCTCTGACTTGTGCCCTGATATGCTTCCTCCTTTTCTGATTGCCTCCAGGAATGGGGGAACACATCAGACATCTTCAGCATCAAACACTTTTTGCTCATACAGGGAGAGCGCATGGATCACTTGATACTGGTCTCCCTGGTGCGGCCTGTACCAAGAAAGGAGAAGTCTTGGACCTTGCAGAGGACACAGATTAACCACCAACTCCTCTGCTTGATGCCAGCTGAAGCTGGAAAGTGCTGTGGGATGGGCTTCTGTGGCCTAGGAAGTGTCCAAGCCACTACAATAGGGAGGGACTTATCTGTCTCCAGGATGCCAGAGCTCCATTCCCACTACCTCTGAACATTTTTGATCCTGATCTATCCCAGCATTGCCACTCTAGTATTTCGACCCACCTGCAGGGATCTGCTTCTCCTGAAGAATCACATATCTTGATTAATGCATCTCCAGATCAGCGTGGAATCCATCAGGCTGTAAAACATGTTGGCACATCAGTTTGGTTTAATTAGTCAGATGCCAAATTCAGGCAGTTCTTCGGTCCTCGTTGAGGTAGCAGTACCCAGGGCTCTTCCCATTCTTCCTAGTGTCTGCTGCTGCATGTAGAGATGTTCTCAATGCTCCTACAATTTGCAGCAGACATCTGCTACTTGACCCAGAGTGACTGACCCTCCGAGACAGCGCGTCTTCCCTTCCCTCCTTCTCTCTCTCTCATGTCCAGCAGTGCTGGGATTTTGGTCTAGCAAGCAAACCCAAGAGAAGTTCAGACTGTTGTGCATATTCTTGGGGGAAGTGGGAAACACGGACAGGCCTTACACCCAGGACATTGCTAGTTATTTCCACTGCAGGGTATGCGAGCAAGGTGGGACATATGTATGAGGCAGTGTCCGGAAGCACTTACATACAGTAAGGGACTGTTCTCTGTTCGACCCTGCCAGATTTCTCTTTCACAAGCCAGTGGGCTTGCAGGGATGGTGGTGGTTCAAGTCAGCTCCACTAGTACCTTCCCATGATGTGCAAGTGCTCTGAAACAGCAGGGCTGCCCTTGCTTTGGGCACCTGGGGAGTACCAGAGCCACAGGGGCAGCAGGCAGGCTGTGCTCGGCTGTCCTGGCTGGGAGCTGGCCCTGACCTCTCCCTGGTGCTTTGCCTTGCAGGCACAGCCCTCCCTGACCTCTTGCCACAGCCCTGTACCATCCGGCACCTGGTTACCCATTATCTTGACATCTCCTGTGTGCCCCGGCGCTCCTTCTTCGAGCTCTTGTCCTACTTCTCTACAAATGAACTGGAGCGGGAGAAGCTGCAGGAGTTCAGCTCTGCACAGGGCCAGGAAGAGCTGTACAGCTACTGTAATCGACCTCGCAGGACCACTCTCGAGGTAGAGCTGGGGGAGCATGGCAAACCTACACAGTGAGGGCTGTGTCTTGGGGTAAAGCACCAAGATGTTTATTGACTAGGGAACGTAATTTACTTCACCCATTTTCTGAAGTTTCCTCAGATTGCCACTGGTGGTGAAGACCTTGGGCCAAATCCTTGGGCTCTGCGGTAGGCCCTGTGCTGCAGCCTGGGAACTGCTGTGTGCAGGATCCTGGGGACAAGGGGAGGGCGGTGGTCCATAAGTTGGTGCTTGGACGCACCTGGTGTGATGCCTTCGGTCGAGTGGCGTGGGCAGTGTGGTAAAGCAGTGGAGGGGAGCCTGTGCCACCCTGAAGAGCAGGCAGGGCTGCACCAGTTCTAATCTCTGCTTGACTTTGCCAGGCCCTTTGGGATTTCCCTCACACCACATGCGCCATTCCACCCGAATATCTGCTGGACCTCATTCCTCGCATCAGACCCCGCGCCTTCTCCATCGCCTCCTCCATGCTGGTAAGAGCTCGGTCATTCCAGATCTAATGTCAGGCACTGAACTGAGGTCCTGGCAGGCCCTGGCCTAACAGCTTGTGATGTGCATGCTGCAGATGTTCAGGATATACTCCCAGGCCCTGTGAACACCCACAGCACACCCAAAAACCCACTCTGCTTTGAGCCTGCAGCATGCTGACGTACTGGATGTTAACTGCTGCGCCGTGGCCAGCCTCTGACTTAGGGCATTTGCCCTCCTGTGGCCCTGCAAGTGCTGGGGGCTGGTAAGGCATGCTGCAGAGGCCTGGGGTCCTCGTCCTGTGGAGCTGTGGGACGTGTTGCCATGGAGGCTGGGAGCGTCCCTGCACCATGTGGCCATGGGAAGGCTGAGGTAGTGTTGTTTCCTGTTGCTGCCAGGAGGTGGCAGGGGGACCTGGCCCTGGCGGCTTGGCAGACGTCAGCCCAAGCACCCCACTGGGTTTTCCCTCCCCAGAGCTGTCTTGGGTTGGACTGTCTCTGTCTGCCTTG